CAGGCACTCCATGAAAGGAAGACTGGGCAATCTACTTCTGTAAAGATTTACCGCCTTGGAAACCCAAAGGGGGTTGCTGTGAGTCGGAATCGACTCGATGGTGGTGAGTGTGTTTGTTTGTTTTGGTTTTTGTGTAGATACTTACAATTTAATTTAGAATGTAGATACCTGCAATTTAAGAAACATTGACACAGAATGAAGGCAAAGAATAAATAAAGGAAACTAAAACCAGGAAATCCACAAACAGATATGCCACAGATACATGGTATTAAAAATGTCTCTTCCTGTTAACAAACACTTTAGTTGGTAAGTTTATTTTTCATGGTGGTACCATTTAGTTATTCCAGAACTACTTTACATGCTAGCATTGAACAAATAATTACATATACTGGAGAAAATGAGAGCTAGGTTTCTATCAGGGAAGGAAGTTATAAATCAGTAAATGGCATGTGTGTGTGTGTGTTTTATACTATATACATACACACACATACACACACACAGATAGATACATAGATGTATATATAGGTGGATTAATATGCATACATATCCTAGCTCTGTCCACTGAGGGGGCCTTGAAGCGGTGACAACAATGCTGTAGTGTAACCTAGTCCCCAGACAGTGGCTTGTAAATATCATTCTTCAATAAAGCAAAGATGGTGGATTCTTAGGGCTGGTCCAGGAAAATAAAGATGAGCCTAGAGCTTCTGTAGTGCTGGAAAGTAAAGAAAACCAAGAACAACAAACCAACCCACTGCCATAGAGGTGATTCCAACTCATAGCAACCCCCATTGGACTTCCAAGGCTATAAATCTTTACGGAAATAGGTTGCCTCATCTTTCTCCTGCAGAGCAGCTGGTGGGTTTGAACTACTGACCTGGTTAGCAGCCACATGCCTTACTCACGATGCCACCAGAGCTAGAAAGTAAAGAAGTGCTAAATAAATAAAAGGATGTGATGTGTCACCAGGACACAGGCACTCACTAAATGAGCTCTCAGTGATCAAAACTGGAACAATTGAGCACCAGAATTAAAAATGATGGTATTGGAGTAGAAACACAAAGAATACAATTAATGCTGGTGAGCCCATACTGATAGACTCTGGTCTGTACTCTGTGGGACTTTGTGTACCCTGCGATCTTCAGCATGGCATGGTGTCCCTCTGCTCAAGTTGAGGAGAACTAGAGCATCTTAGAGACTTTTAGAGCAATAAATAAAGGACTTAAGGAAGAAATATTGTTTCCAAATGGGCCTCTGGTTGCTCATTTTCCATTGGAGGAAATGGAAGCCTGGCAAGGTGAAGTAGCTTGCCCCAGGCTCACACAGCAAATTCATGTCAGAGCAGCACTGGGTCACGGGGTCTCTAGGTTTCGACACTGAACCATAGGGCCAGGACTGTGGGTCTATGTCAACTTGCTGTTTTTGTTACATGGCAGAGAATGTGACAGCAGTCTACATCAAGTCTCAATTTCAAAAGATAGACTAATTTTTCTTTCTTTCTTTTAAACAAAGTAGAGCCTGTAATTCCACCACCACCACCACCACCACCACCACAACCTCATGCCATCTAGTCAGTTGTGACTCATCATGACCTTATATAGCAGAATAGAACTGTCCCATAGGGTTTCTAAGGCTATATGTAAATCTTTACAAAAGCGGACTGCCACATCTTTTTCCTGCAGAGCAGCTGGTGGGTTTGAACCACAGACCTTTTGGTTAGCAACTGAATGCTTCAACCACTATGCCACCAGAGCCTATTTAAAAGTGAAGGTAACTAAATTTGTTGAGTTCTCTAAACAACAAGTTTTCACTAGTAATCTTGATCCTTATTTGATAGTTCTAATGTTTTAAAAATATTTAGTAACTCATATTTGAACTCTTTAGTAGCATTTGTAGGACTTTTAGGTTAAATGGAGATAAAATTTTTTATTCATTTTCATTGCAGAAGAAATTTTGGAATCCATAAGAGCCAAAAAAGGAGAGATCGATCCTGCGAGAAGCCCTGAGGAAATAGACAAGGACAAGAGTGAGACTGAGAATATTGATTCCAGAGATTCTGAGAAAAGCAGAGAGGAGTTTGAAGACCAGACCCTTGAAAAAGACAATGATGACCAAACACCAGATGATGACCCCGAACAAGGAAAATCTGAGGGTAAAAAAATTACTTGGTTAAAAAGAAGTATTTCTTAAGTGGTGTTTAGGAAACTTCCAGTTTTACTTGCAAAATAAAAGTGAAATTTTGTATTACAGCCAGCTACTTAATTTTACATTTCTAAAGTGATTAGGACACCCCCACACACACTACTTGCATCATGTATAAAAATGGTAATGAATTTTCTGTGTTGGTGGGTTTGCTATAATGATATTCCTTATCTCTACTTGTTCTTTCTAGTAAGTTGCCATTTCCTGAAATTTGTTGCTAAAAAATTACTCTTTTTATACCAGAGTATGTACTTTTGTATGTGGTAAAATATGTTCCTTTTTTTTAATTAATTCTTGACCATTTTTAATTATTAAATATTCTTAATTATTCTCTGCAAAAATATCCCAGAATCTAATTTTCTTAAAATGACGGTAAAATGAAAGCACGTGTTGTGGTGATCCTTCATTATTAGTAGTTGATCAACTGTGGCCATTCAGCCTAAAGCAATTTTAAAGAATATCTTTAAAGTTTTGTTGTGCATTTTACTGTAGAGCCAACAGAAGTTGGGGATAAAGGTAACTCTGTGTCAACAAATCTTGGCGACAACACAACAAATGCTTCTTCAGAAGAGACTAGTCCCTCTGAAGGGAGGAGCCCTGAGGGGTGTCTCTCAGAAACTCATGATAGCAGCAACATGGCAGAGAAGAAGGTGGCATCTGAGCTCCCCCAGGACGTGCCAGGTACAGAGGGCAGTGTACCAGTGCCTCTGTATGGGGGGAATCCTTCCCTTTGGTAGTGGAAGCTGAATGTCACCTCAGACTTTAAAGTATGTGTCCATTCATGCTGCTTGCTTACAGTGCCATCCCTGACTGCTAAATTGTCACCTAACGTTTGGAGTTTGATAAATGTTCTTACAGTCAGTGCTTGAAACTCATCATAACCGTCATGCTTTTTAAAGTTCATTTGAGCTGTTTTTGTTTAAGACTTACCTGTGAATTTTCTCATCAGACCATAGTGCCAGACATTTTGGTTTTAAGTACTTACATACTAATTAATGTCCCAGTTTTGAATGATTTAACTCTTCCAGTTTTGTGTATACTAACAAATTAATGTCATGTTTGCATGTGCTCATATAGTTTTTTACAACATTTCAAACCAGAATGTTATGATAGAAAACCATTATTCCAACACATATTTGCAAGGTGTACTTTGACATAGAAATGCAAGCTAACCAATATGTCTTATTTAAATTGTTTTAAATTAAAATTATACATAAATTAAGTTATATCATGCTAAGAATGTCATTATGCCTTTCTTTTTTTCCTTTTTTTTTAAGATGAAAAATAATTTTATTATAGAAGCTTTTTTTTTTTAAAAGAAAAACGAATTAGAAAATTCAAATGTGCAAAATAAGAAAATTAACACTAGTAATCCCACCAAAAATCCAAAAGCATACTTAATATCTTGATGGCAATTTCTAAAGAATTTTTTCTGTGTCTATAAGATCACTTATTTTCCAACTTTCAGTACTTTAATTTGCTACATTTTATACCGGGAATGGGATTATGAGATGTTAGGAAGAAGACAGACTGTAGTTGGAAGACTTGTTCCTGCCCACTTCTGCCTCTAAGTTAATGCCATTTACTCTCTTAACAATCTTAATTTACCTGTCTTGTAAAATCAGAGATTTGGACAACCAACAATTGTTTTTGTAGTGGCTGCTTTAAATTGTCATTAGTGAGGCATGTTGCTGAAAATACCATCATAGCATTAGGTTTCATGTAGGGTCCAAAAAAATTACAGCCATAAGTTCACCATAGTTTATACGGGTGAAAGACTGGTCATTAAGATAAGACAGATCTGGAAACTATGACATTTGGTGAAATTAATAAAGAAACAAAAGGTTTTTTTTTTTTTTTTTAGCCTAGAAAAGAATTGACCGATGTTGAGGGGTTAGGGATGGAAATAATTTTATGATCCTCAAATACTCAGGAAGCTGGCATGGAGAGAGAATTAGACTTCTCATTTCATTTCATTTCTTTGGAATGTAGGGTATTATTAATCAAATAAGTAGAAATAATGATAAGAATACTTCGACTAAATTTAAACAGCTTTCTTATAATGTGAGCTGTTTAGAAAATAGAAGTAGTAAATTCACATTCACTGCATACATCAAGTGAACACCCATCATAGCAGTGAGAGTCTTTCTCTTTCGTTAAATGGATTGGAGAAACTCGAAGATCTATCATGTGATTTTATAAGTAGATCAGAGCCTGTCCAGCTTTTAAAAATTACGTTTTTCTGACTTTCACAAATGCATAGGTAAAAGTTTAAAAGTGGTATATTGCCCCAAAATAATATGAGAAAATTCCATTTTTATTAGAATCATGATTACATTCTTAGTAAATACGTATTTAAAAAGTTTTGTCTTTTTAGATCAATCAATGCTTATGTAAACTACAATCTTACTCTAGTGGGTTTATATGCTGTTTGTTCACATTTTTATTTTATTGTAATATAATATAAAATTTGCCATTTTATCCAGTTTTTAGTGTATAATTCAGTGACATTAATTACATTCACAGTGTTGTGTAGTCATTACCACCATTTATTTCCAAAACTTTCACCCTCTCAAAACAGAAGAAACTGTGCCCATTAGGCAGTAATTTTCCATTCCTCTGTTTCCCCTGTCAACTACTAATCAACTTTGTCTTCATGAATTCACCTATTCTAGATACTTCATAAGTGAAATTATATAACTCAGCAGAATGTTTTCAAGCTTCATCCATCTCATAGCATGTTTCAGAACTTTATTTCTTTTTGTGGCTGAGTAATATTCCTTTGTATGCATATACCGCGTATTGTTGAACTCTTCATTTGTCGATGGCCAGTTGGGTTGTTTCTACCTGTTGGCTACTGTGAATACTGCTGTGGTGAACACTGGTGTACAAGTATCTATTTGAGTTCCTGCTTTTCAGTTCTTTGGGATACATACTTAGGAGTGGAACTGCCAGGTTGTATGGTGGGTCTGTGTTTAACTTCTTCTGGAGCCGTAGCTGTTTGGTTTTTAAACCTTGAGTAACCACTTAGATTTTAGCAGACATTTGCCTTTTAATCTCCTTATTAATCAGCTTATTCATTCCTCAGAGATATTTGTTGTTCTTTTATTTTTGGAGTCATTTAAGGGAGAAACTATTATCCTAATATCTGACTTACATTTGTAAAGAATATCAAAAGAGATAATATATCTAAAGCCTTCAGAATAGTGCCTGACACATATTACACATATTAACTGCTCAATAAATGTTGGGTATCATTATTACTACTATATATTATCAGTCCTTTGAGAGAATAAGAAAGCCTAGCAAGAAAAGATTAATAAAGTGAGTGAGTTGAATTACATATTTACTGACTCAGTAGTTAATGATCAATAAAAGTCTTATAAATGAGATCCATATTTCATGAAGAAATTTTGATGAGAGCCTGAATAAGAAGCCAGAATGGAAGCAAATCATGATTGAATAGCTGGTGTCAAGTGGATTTGAAGTCACTGGCAGGATTCGAGTGCCAAGCAGCAGAAGGTGTTGTCCTGTCAAGAAATTCAAAACCTGACCATTTAATAACAGATGTCTTCATGGCCAGACTTAAAAGAAAAAAAAAAAAAAAATCAACCTAGAAAGCTTACATTTCCATTTTTGTTCCAGAAAAAATATAAGAACATTTTTTTCAAAGATTTTATTAAATATATAACACCAGCTTTTAAAGAGACACTTAATACTTTTATAAATTTCTGATCTTCATCATTCCTTCCTTTTATCTTTGCATGTTTGTGACTGTTCCACCAGCTCGAGGTGGGGGTGTCGGTTCCCCCGGCTCCTTGAGGTGGGGGTGTTGGTGAGCTGTTCTTCTGTGTGTGCTGTGTAGGCTGTTATCACTTTCCCTCTGTGAACTGTTGAAGCTGCATCCCTCACTTCTATATATCATGATCTCTTTGTCATTTAGATGAATGTATTTTCTAATTTCCATTATTGTGGGTGTTTTTTTGATCCATAATTTATTTAGAAATAATCTGCCTAGTATCTAAACATTTGGAGATGTTTTAGTTACCTTTTTGTTACTGATTTCTAGTATTATACACTGTGGTCAGAGAGCAAGTTATCTTTTTGTTATTGATTTCTAGTATAATATACTGTGGTCAGAGAGCATTCAGTTCATAATTTTTATCCTTTAAAACTAACTGAGACTTGTTTTATAGCCCAGCGTTTGGTCAACGTTGGTGAATGTTTCACGTGCACTTGAAGAACGTGTGTATTTTTATTTGTTGGGTGCAATATAGGATAATTAGGTCAAGGTTTTCCATTGTGGTGTTCAAATCTGTATCCCTGCTTGACTTTTTCTCTGCAAGATATTTTAAAATGATTTCCAACTCTATACTGTGGATTTCCCTTTTTCATTTTTTATTTTTTTCAGTTTTTGCATTGTACATTTTTAGGATATATTATTAGGAAAACATGGTATTTGCATATTCTTGTTGAAGCAAGTTTTTTAAATCATTGTGAAAATTCCTTAGATAGTTGAATTAGTTTTTTTGCTAGTGTTTGTATTTAATACCTTTTAGGGGATAGTAAGTTTTTTAATTTAATAATCTGAGGATTTAAAATACCTTTAGAAATACATCTGTCTTAGAATCTCTTTAGAAAGATATTTTCAAAAATAAAGATACTTTATTTCAAGCTATATCTTGAAGTGACATCTAATTGGAGAGCACTTCCATTTTCATGTAATAGGATAGAACACATGTCAAGGAAAAATTATGAATTTTTGGTCTCAAGTCTATAGGGATGAGAACATAGGACAAATGATCAGTCATCATGATTTTATATTGAGCAT